CTGAAATGTCTGAGGGATGCTATCCATCGCAAAAGGCCAGAAATGTGGAGGAGTGGTGATTGGTTTCTCCATCACGACAATGCTCCAGCCCATTCAGCCCTCAGAACTCGTGAGTTTTTGGCCAAACACTTGATCACTGTTCTTTCCCACTCCCACTACTCACCTGACCTTGTTCCTTATGACTTTTTCTTGTTCCCCAAACTCAAAAGACCCTTGAAAGGAAGAAGATTTGAGACGATTTCTGAGATTAAAGCAAATGCAACGAGGGCGTTGAAAGACGTTACAAAAGAAGCATACCAGGACTGTTTCAACAAGTGGAAACACTGTTGGGATGGAGAGTACTTTGAAGGGGACCCAGACATGTAACTTCTACATAAAGTACATTTTGTTTTATGATGTCAGTCCATGTATTTTTTGAACAGACCTCGTAAAGCTATATTCCCTTCGGGCAAGTTGATTAAAAAAACGCCACTTATTTGATTTAGAATTATATATTTTTTGTGAATTATTTCAAAGTATTTTAAAAAGAACATGTAATCTTTTAACCCCTTCTGGGTTCTTCTTCAGGTAAGTCAGTTGGATCGAACAAGAATATGAAAAGTTTGAACAAATCTGAATGCTGTTGAGTTTGAATTGTTCGGTTTGTAACATGACGGAATACACAAACGAACCAAACAATTCAAACTCAACAGCATTCGGATTTGTTCAAACTTTTCATATTCATATTCAATCCAGCTGATTTACCTGAAGAAGAACCCAGAAGGGGTTAAGAAAACATTTGTTTTGGAAGATTATACTCTGTATACACCAGTTATAGGTTCAAGTAGGTCATATTTTGCTATATACAACCCGGTGTGCGGTTGCTGTTTTATACCTAAAATATTTTTTCATCACTGCAGTCTCGATCTACATCTGGTACAGAAATCCTTAATGTATCACCAACATTAGCTGCTGTGTATTTGGAATTTGATGTATCAATAATTTTTTCCACTTGTTTTTTAAGATTAGACAAGCCTTGTTTTAGACACTTATTTTTTTTTCTATTTTTTGATCAGCTGTTTGGATTTTTCTTCTTCATTCATCAATTTTGTAATACTAATAACATCCTGGTTTAGATCTTTTTCATGTGAAGATGATGTAGATCTTTGAACTTCATCATTTATATTGCTATGTGAGGGTGGCATTATCAAATAATCTTTTATAATGTTTTCTTGGATGGTACCTGATCTTTCAGAGTTTGAGCAACTTTGACTTTGTCAATAGTTTTAAAAAGTCTCTCTAGATTAGTGTTTCCCAATGTGGGGCTCATGCCCACAGGGTGGCAATTGGATTGTTAAGGGGGCAATTCAAAAATGGACTCGTCCAGAGTTTAAGTTAATTCAACCGTATAGCCGCTGTATATGTTAGGGGGCATAAGAATTTTAGAAAGACTTAGGTGGGGCATAGCACAAAAAAGGTTGGGAAACACTGCTCTAGATCCTCCTCTGTATTAATGTTCATCAGTGATTCGTTGGGTATAAAATTCTTTAGTCCAACTTTTAACTTTGCTTCAAACATGGCCTCATATGGACTGCAGTTTATACCAGTATGATGTGCTTGATTTTTTATCAGTTGTACAAAATGTAATCCTTCTGACCATTTGTTAGTATTGTTAGTCTCCAACCAAGAACTAAGCATATTTTCTACGTCTTGATTATATCTTTCTACTGAACCCTGATTTTGTGAGTGCCTAGGTTTTCCATGCACCATTTTTAACTTGGGCCACATATTGCACATTTCTTTGATGACTTTATTGGTGAATTCTCTGCTGTTATCACTTTGTAGAATACTCGGTACACCGAAAATTGTAAAAATGTCTAAAAGAACATATGCTATCTTCGGCCCTTTTGGTTTTTAATGGTTGTAGTTGAATGAATTTAGTTAGATGGTCTTGATATATGAGTATAAATTTATATTGTTCGTCGGCTTGTGACTACATGTCTATAAGATTGACCTGACATCTTGAGTTCATTCCATTACATAAAATTGGTTTAACTACTAAGCCTTTCTTAGAAANTTGACGGGGGTCAATTAGGTATAGTTTTTGCGGGGATTATATTGTACCCTTTGTACATAGTTGTACAAAGAAGTTTTGTAGGCCCTAATTTTTTACACACGCTAAACGAAAGTAAAGCCGCAAAAACTATACCTAATTAATAATAATACTTTTTAACGCAAGCGAAGCTGCGGGCAAAAGCTAGTAATTTATATTGTTAATTTAAATAATAATTAAAATTGTTAATTTGAATGTTTGAAATATGACACACAATAGGGGTGCTTCTGGTGTCCGTTATCAAACGGTTACATGTACAGACACCCATTGAATGGGTTATATATATAGATTTGTTCTATTTGCATAAGTATTTTGTATTTAATTATTGTCTGATTCATATTTTAAAAGTTTGAAATGGCTTTGTGGCTGAGGTTGGCTTGAATGGGGAGAAAAAGTTTCCAATTAAAAGGTTTAAAGAACAAAATTATGACTTACTTAAGCCTGTAATCGATGCGAAATTGTAAAATATTAACGCACAAACGTTTTCGGAACACCTTCCGTGTTCTTCCTCAGGTTTTCAAACTGGATTTTTTATATTCTGGAACACCGCTATGAAATTTTTCAAAAAAACGAATGATGATATTTTGAATGCTTGGTGTCCATTGCGCACACGTTGTACACGTTGTGTTCCCGGTTGTTCAGAGTCCCATTCAATCTTCTAATCATCATGTAATTTTTCTTGTTATTCATACGATGTACTATTCTAGCCTTCCACGTCACGTGTCCTCCCGCATCCCCCACCAGGTTTAAAGAAACAAGCAAACCTCACAAAACTTGATAAATTTGTAAAGCCAAATATTCACCAGATTACATTGGGCTACTTTTATATAACTGAGGATGGTTATATCATATTTAAATATGTCTGGAAGAGGAGATCAGACTGGAGGCTTTGGTGGTGTAATTGACAATGCATTGCATGGTAAGTGGGAGTAGCAGGTTTGAGTTCTGCTCCAGGCTGATTCTTTTCTTCCAGAATATTCTAAATTATTTAATAAATATCAATTTAATTATAATTATTAAATTTAATAAGAGATGACACCTAACAACTTCTTCTAGTGACAAATTATTTAGTAATTAATTAAATATAGTCACAGTAAAGTAGCTTGGTTTAAAGAAAGTTTGGTTTCCTTAACAAGCAGCAAGACTAAGTATGTTTAAAATAATACCAAGTTTTGGAGAATTTAAATATTTGAAATTTATTTAATAAAATATTATAAATTTTTCTTATTGCAATTCTTAAAAAATAATTTTCAATTAAAACTTTTTACTGTTTATTTATGGAATAGTTTATTTTTGCTGTTATAGGTGGAACATATTTATAATTTCAAAGATTCATTTTATCCTGTTCTTTAACCTAATGACAGCTTTTAAATTTTGTCCATTTATGTATTTTTTGAATATTTGTGTTTTTAAAATTTGGATGTTTTGAATCTGTACTCTGAACTGAAATGGCTTTAGAATGCTGACACAAGCATATGTTCAATTTAAAAAATCATCGTACGAGTTCTAAGGCTGAGATATAAAGTCTTGTAGAACATTTTTTCTCTATTAAGATGTTATTCGTCTTGCAGTATATGAACTATAATTAAGGAGTCATCCTTAATTAACTATAGTTTAAACACTGCAAGACTGGAATATTAGCCTGAAGATCTCCAATGTAGATCGAAAATATTTGTTTTTTGTTTGTTTTTATCTGCATTAAACTATGCTGGAATTTCATGTATAAGGTTTAGAGGTTGTCCTTTTTATGATTCCTTAACTGATTTAGCATCCTTATTTTGTATTCAATGTATCAAATTTTACACCAGTATTAAAAATAAATGTATTTTGAATTTAAATACAGGTAACCCTCATATAATATAGTAGTTATGTTTTGAAAAAGTGCTGTGTTATGCAAATCTGTGCTATATGAAACAAAGGACTAATTTGAAACATGGGGTTAGATTCCAAAAGGTAGCTAAAGTATAGTATTCTTTTCTGTCACTAAGAGAAATTTATTTATTAAAGCAATCAATAATTAACTAACAATCACAATTGAAAATATTGTATAATACATTAATATTAATTTTAGTTGATGAGGGCATTTTCTCTTTACAAAGTATCTTCATCATCTGAGCTTTTTTCTTGATCTTGATCAGAAATATCAGTAATGTCTTTTTTATTTTTTTATATTTTGATCATAATTTTTTTATGAATGACAAATCAAATTAAAAATATGTTGTTAATGGAAAATTTGTTCTAGTGGGTTGTGTTTGTTCAGTTGAGTATCAAGCAACTTTATTCCAGAATTTGTTTGAATACAGAATTGTTTGAGTACCAAGATAATGCTGTATTTTATTTGTCATTTTAAAAATGATTGCTAAATTCATACCTACAGTTAAAAAAGTTTAATACCACTTATCTAAAAATGTTTAAATAAACTTTCCTAAATACAAAGATGAATCTATAAAAACAAAACAGTGGGTCTTAAAGGTAAAATCTGAAAGCAACAACAATGACACCCAGTTGATAGGAAAGCTAGGACAAGGAAAAAAAATTTTAGTATCAGTTTTCATTAAAGTAAACCTAATGAAAGGCACAAACCAAATTGAAAATTTTAATATTGTAAAATCCATGGGCAAACTTGAGATAACATGCATGCTTACTTGAATAAAAAAAAAATTGAAAAATGGAGTTTACACTTAAAAATAGTGAAATTTTGTACAGAAGATTTTCTAAACTGTGTTAGAGCAAAAGCGGAAGGGCTGTTGTATGGGGGGATATCCCCAATTTTCAAACTCTGTTAGGGTGAAACCATGTTGTAAAAGTGCCATGTTGTATGAGGGATACCTGTACTTAAAGATTACATATTAAAACAAATTAAACAATTTACAATTAACATTAATCATATTTTCTTATTTTTTATTTTTTAGTTATCGTTTTCAAAAGAAGAGAGTAACTGTTGAAGAAGGAGTTGTGTCTCAATTGAATTTTTCTATGGAGAGTGATTTGATAAATAAATCAAATTCTGCAGTAAATGATGATAATCCAATATTTACTACCACCATTAACACAAATTCTTCAGAATTTACAACACCGATAATTCAGAATAATACACTAGTAATTGATGATGATTTTATAAATCCTCCCAAATTTCAATATCATAACTATACTGAATTGGTAGAATTTTTAAATAATATTTCAAAAAATTTTCCTCACATCACAAGACTCTATAGTATTGGTTTATCTGTAGAAGGAAGAGAATTATTTGTGTTGGAAATCACAGATAACCCTGGAATGCATGAACCAGGTAAAACTAGTATTTGATTAAATTGATTTGAACTCTTTTTAATACATAGAAATTGATTTGAACTCATAACTGCTTCAGTAGATCACTTGATCAACTACATACAACCTTCTATTATTAACAAAAATGTTTATTAAAACTGATGCTGTTAGCTTTTCTAAATTTGTTTGATTTTTGAATAGCAAACTGGACATAGATCATTAAATATGACTAAAAATGATAGTTTTAAATATTTTTGTTGCTATACAAGGTTGTACAGTACATAGTTGATTGAGTGATTTGAATTTTTTTCATAATATAACATTACAAAGTTTTTTAACAGTAAAACTTGAAAATTATATTAAAAAATCTGCAATATTTAAATTTAATTTAATTAAAAAAATGTCTATAGTTTGTTTTAAATACATTGGCACNTTCACTTTGGAAAATAATTTGTGATTTCACATGTATTAATGTAATTGTTTATTTCACCTATATTAATGTATTTTGTTTATTTTGTTAATATTATCTTTGATGGGAGCATATGTAACTTGGTTAAGGCCTTGTTATTTTTCTCTTTCACCACTTTCATTCAAAACTTTACTGTTGGCTTTTATTCATCTGGCCTCACCCTGACTGGTTGATCCAATGGTCCGATGTGTGTCTAAAACAAAAGGAGTAGCACTGGATTGGTCAAAAGGGGTCAGAATGAAAGGAGAGGTAGGGGAATGCATCAAGGGATGATCATCTTTTGGAGAGAGGAGCTGGAGGAGAGGACATGTGTGTCTAAGTAATGGAAAGGAAACTCTCTTGAAGAACAGACTCAAGGTTTATTTTTGCCAGTCCTTTTGGTTTTCCCTTTTTCTTTTTCTATCTAAATCAGTTCTTCTGATTTCTTATAATAACCCCATCTTGATCCAGTTTAATCTTATAACACTCTCCCCCTCCTCTCACTCTCTCTCTCTCATGTCATCACCCCCTCTTTTAACGCAAGGTTGGCAATCACCTTGTTTTAACAGCTGCATTCACACTGCAAAGATCAATTAGTTTGAAAGCAAATGTTTTCAACTTATTAAACGCTGTTAAAAACATTTGCTTTCTTATGTTGAATTTACTAATTGTAGCTGTATATTTGTTCAGTGAATGGTTGTCTCTTTAATCCGAAAATGTTTCTCTCGGTAGACTATCTTACAGCAAGTCAGGTCCAGAAACTCTTTTATTGTATTTTCAATTCATATGCATTTCGAACTGGTTTCATTTTCCAAACTGGTTTTCATTTTCCATTGAAAATACAATAAAAGAGTTTCTGGACCTGACTTGCTGTAAGATAGTCTACCGAGAGAAACATTTTCGGATTAAAGAGACAACCATTCACTGAACAAATATACAGCTACAATTAGTAAATTCAACATAAGAAAGCAAATGTTTTTAACAGCGTTTAATAAGTTGAAAACATTTGCTTTCAAACTAATTGATCTTTGCAGTGTGAATGCAGCTGTTAAAACAAGGTGATTGCCAACCTTGCGTTAAAAGAGGGGGTGATGACATGAGAGAGAGAGAGTGAGAGGAGGGGGAGAGTGTTATAAGATTAAACTGGATCAAGATGGGGTTATTATAAGAAATCAGAAGAACTGATTTAGATAGAAAAAGAAAAAGGGAAAACCAAAAGGACTGGCAAAAATAAACCTTGAGTCTGTTCTTCAAGAGAGTTTCCTTTCCATTACTTAGACACACATGTCCTCTCCTCCAGCTCCTCTCTCCAAAAGATGATCATCCCTTGATGCATTCCCCTACCTCTCCTTTCATTCTGACCCCTTTTGACCAATCCAGTGCTACTCCTTTTGTTTTAGACACACATCGGACCATTGGATCAACCAGTCAGGGTGAGGCCAGATGAATAAAAGCCAACAGTAAAGTTTTGAATGAAAGTGGTGAAAGAGAAAAATAACAAGGCCTTAACCAAGTTACATATGCTCCCATCAAAGATAATATTAACAAAATAAACAAAATACATTAATATAGGTGAAATAAACAATTACATTAATACATGTGAAATCACAAATTATTTTCCAAAGTGAAGATGATGAAAGTCCACTTTCCATCCCCTTAAATTGTACGGGTGGGAAATCTCGTTTATTTTCTCCAATCCGACTTCACAACTCGAATGCTTGTTGTCTCCCTTATACTGATGGTTAGGTTGGTTATGCCAGTTGTATCTTGCACATTGAATTATCGGAATGTGAGGGATGTCTTCTTCCCCTTCATCATCATCTTTGGGTTCCTTGGATGGCACTTCTTCATTTCCTGTTGGCACATTATGTCTCTACCTGGGCTCAAGGAAATTTGAGAAACAAGGTTTCAGTCCATCAATATATACAGTTTTTTTCCCTTTTATCACAACCTTCAATCTCAGCATTAACAGGCCCAAGGAGGCGATAAACATGGAATGGACCCAAATATTTGGGTGAAAACTTGTCATCTTTTCCCTTTTCTCAACATCCAAACCCTTTGCCCTACCTCAAATCCCTGCACTTTCCTTCCCGTATTGATATGATTACGATTAATTTTGTTATGACTATGACTCAGTTCATAAGCTGATTCATGATACAACATAACTTCGATATTAGGAAGTCATGATACTCCCGAATACTTGGGTTTTCAATTGTCTGTTTGACAGGGAAAGCATGAAGAAATTTAGGGTCGAACCCATAAAGAAGGAATGATCGTGATTCATTCATAGATGAGTGGTTAGCAAAATATGACCTACTTGAACCTATAACTGGTACATACAGAGTTTAATCTTCCAAAACGAACGTTTTCTTAACCCCTTCTGGGTTCTTCTTCAGGTAAATCAGTTGGATCGAACAAGAATATGAAAAGTTTGAACAAATCTGAATGCTGTTGAGTTTGAATTGTTCGGTTTGTAACATGACGGAATACACAAACGAACCAAACAATTCAAACTCAACAGCATTCGGATTTGTTCAAACTTTTCATATTCATATTCAATCCAGCTGATTTACCTGAAGAAGAACCCAGAAGGGGTTAAGAAAACATTTGTTTTGGAAGATTATACTCTGTATACACCAGTTATAGGTTCAAGTAGGTCATATTTTGCTATATACAACCCGGTGTGCGGTTGCTGTTTTATACCTAAAATATTTTTTCATCACTGCAGTCTCGATCTACATCTGGTACAGAAATCCTTAATGTATCACCAACATTAGCTGCTGTGTATTTGGAATTTGATGTATCAATAATTTTTTCCACTTGTTTTTTAAGATTAGACAAGCCTTGTTTTAGACACTTATTTTTTTTTCTATTTTTTGATCAGCTGTTTGGATTTTTCTTCTTCATTCATCAATTTTGTAATACTAATAACATCCTGGTTTAGATCTTTTTCATGTGAAGATGATGTAGATCTTTGAACTTCATCATTTATATTGCTATGTGAGGGTGGCATTATCAAATAATCTTTTATAATGTTTTCTTGGATGGTACCTGATCTTTCAGAGTTTGAGCAACTTTGACTTTGTCAATAGTTTTAAAAAGTCTCTCTAGATTAGTGTTTCCCAATGTGGGGCTCATGCCCACAGGGTGGCAATTGGATTGTTAAGGGGGCAATTCAAAAATGGACTCGTCCAGAGTTTAAGTTAATTCAACCGTATAGCCGCTGTATATGTTAGGGGGCATAAGAATTTTAGAAAGACTTAGGTGGGGCATAGCACAAAAAAGGTTGGGAAACACTGCTCTAGATCCTCCTCTGTATTAATGTTCGTCAGTGATTCGTTGGGTATAAAATTCTTTAGTCCAACTTTTAACTTTGCTTCAAACATGGCCTCATATGGACTGCAGTTTATACCAGTATGATGTGCTTGATTTTTTATCAGTTGTACAAAATGTAATCCTTCTGACCATTTGTTAGTATTGTTAGTCTCCAACCAAGAACTAAGCATATTTTCTACGTCTTGATTATATCTTTCTACTGAACCCTGATTTTGTGAGTGCCTAGGTTTTCCATGCACCATTTTTAACTTGGGCCACATATTGCACATTTCTTTGATGACTTTATTGGTGAATTCTCTGCTGTTATCACTTTGTAGAATACTCGGTACACCGAAAATTGTAAAAATGTCTAAAAGAACATATGCTATATCTTCGGCCCTTTTGGTTTTTAATGGTTGTAGTTGAATGAATTTAGTTAGATGGTCTTGATATATGAGTATAAATTTATATTGTTCGTCGGCTTGTGACTACATGTCTATAAGATTGACCTGACATCTTGAGTTCATTCCATTACATAAAATTGGTTTAACTACTAAGCCTTTCTTAGAAACATTCTGTTTTTTCTGACAGATTTCACATAAGTTCAAATAAATTATGATCATCTCCCTTGTAATATTTTTATATTTCCTACTTAATTCTTTTTTCATACAGTTTCCATCGCCATGTCCAATAGCAATATTGGCATCATGCAATATCTGAAATATTTTTTCAGTGTGAATGTAATATTTAATCACATTACCTTCTTTTACATACATAATTAATTACATGCATAATAATAAACATGCATTTCTGATAGATACAATGTCATAGCTATGTAAATGCTGATATTCTTCCGGTAACTTAGAAGTAACTTTCATTTTTGTCTCTTTCACTTTTTGTATCATTGACAAATATGTTGATTTTGTAAAAATTTGATTGTTCTGACCTTTTTCTTCTATTAACTCATTTAATTGGTTGTTGAAGTGATTATTCATATCACTTAATGACTATTCCATGATCATTACTTTTGTCAAAGAAGAAAACACTATTTTAAGAGACAAAAGTAAAATTAAAATGTTGCACAAGATTAACTACTGGTTGCATAAATTTAAAATTCAGTACTAAACACAATATGCATGTGCAACTCTGATGCAAGTGCTGATTGGCTAGCAGTATGTTAGATGATCACTCCTCAATGTATTATTATCACTTTTCCCGACTAGGTGATAGCAGTATTCATAATGACTGGTCAATTTGAT